CAGGTTGGTGCTCCAAAATGCAAACAGGTAGAGCGTCTTGTTGCAGTATGGATCGGCTTTTGTTGTGTTTTTATTGTAGTTCGGTTCGTAAATGGAGTAGATCATCACATTACCTGGAGAAATATTAAACAAAAGAGACTCAGAGGTGCTTGCTCAGTAAGAAAATAGTGCTGTAATGCATTAATTCTCATGCCACGAGAAAATCAATTTGCTCCACAACATTAACAGCTTCTCAAATGTGCTAACTCATTATTTTTTGCTTTGGTGTTTAAAGCTGCACAAATCCATTTCTGGCCCCATGAGAGGGGCTGAAAACCCCTCTTTATTTCTCTGTTGTGAATGATCTATTTTAACTTTTAAATCAGTGAACCAGTTATTAAATGTCAGTCAACGGATCTGTGCAGAGCTGAAGTTTTCACGTACTTGAAATAAAATAAGGAAATAGCTCCTCTTTAAATTTCTTTTGAATAAGCATGTCTTACACTTCCAGTAAACAAAGGGAAACAATAATATAAGACTCAACAATTAATTTTTATTCTTTGTCAGAGACACGAGTCTGAAACCTCTATGTCACGTATCCATTCATGCAATCAATACGAGTACTACTGTACTATCATGGGGACATTCAGGACTTTCTGTTGATACCACATTTGTGCGGTTTGTGCTAACAGCACATGGACTTTGCAGCTTCCACATTTCATGGCCACAGCTGTCATGATTCTATTGCAGAAACTGTCTTTATCAACAGTTTCAACTGTACTGAAATTACCTTCAATTTTTTTTTTTTTTTTTTTAAATTTACATAGCACGAAACATGAAAACAACACAGCCGCCACAAACATGTGGTCCTCTGATTACATCTCACAGAAAACAGACAACCAGGTTTTAGGAAATAAAAATTCAGAGCACACAAACCAGAGGGAGGCGCTCATTTCTGAAGGTATCATTAAAACTGAAACCATTCTTCAGCATATGTGTGGTCACAGCATTGCTACCTCAGGCTACCTAAGATATGAATTTACTGGTTTAAGCAGATTCTTGAAGATTAGGCTCTCTAGAAAGCCTGAACTCTTTTAAACAGAATGCAACAAGGCTGCCTCGGTCTGTAAGACCACGGAAAGATCATTGATTTAACAGGCTGGTGTGCTGCAATATATCATTACGTTACACCCTTCTGTGATCAAACAAGACCTGATGCATCACACGTCTAAAGATGATAAGGAACAAATAAATAATAATAATAAAAAAACAACGATGGAACATGTTTCTTTCAAACACAATACTTACATTACCTTCAAAAATCTAAATATCAAAATATGGTTTTCTGGCTCTCAGGAGGTTAATCTTATTTTCCCCACATACACCGATAGATGGTTCCTTAACAATCGTATTATTAGCTCTAGTTTTTATTTTAGATTTGCAACATCAGCTACTCTTTTGCTCTTTTGTTTTGCTACTCATCTAACTTGGTTGGGAAATAAACAACAAAAAAAAAAAAAATCTGCTTTGCTTGTGCAGGCTGTCTGTAATATTTCTAAAATCAGCTGACTTTTGCTGTTAAGAAACTGGATTCAGCTCTCAAAGCTCACCTGTGATGAACCAGCAAACATAGAAGAGGATGGCCACAGAGCACAGAACGATGTTGCAACAGTTGTAGCACCAGCTCAGTGCCAACAAGATGGGTACGAGTATGAAAAAACACATATAGACGGGGATGAAGGGCTGCCTCGGACAGTCGGTGCTGTACACCAATCCTACAGGGCACAAGAATAAAGATGAGTGTCTTTATTAAACACCTTTGATTATTTGATTTTTTCAAACTTTGTTTCCAGCATATAAATTAAATTCAAACATCAGTAGATTCATCTCTCACTTACCAACTACCCCTTGAGCAATGAATATGATATCGAAAATCACCAAGGTACAATCTGAAGGAAGGCAGTGATATTTTTAGTCATAAATGACACCATGCAGCAGCTGCAGATGTGCAAAAATGTTTCAAATTACTCTCTTACTTAATATTACTGCCCAAGGCCGGCAGATGTGTTGTGACCTGTTGCTGTCTGGCATTATGCCTGGAAAGAAATCAAACATACGAAGACAAAGAGAGCCACATGATATTCCTCCACCAGTCGTCTCTATTTCTCAGTTACGTAGCAAAAGAAAAGATTTGTTGAAGAAGGACCAGCTCACCAAAGAAAAGTGTCAGTATAGTCAGGGAATTTAACTTAAATGTATTATGCGAAAGAATTAAAGTGAGATTTTTTTTGCAGGCCTACCTGTTTGTGTGTCACCGGACTCCTTTGGAAACATGACAAGGACTGTTGTTAAAACTTGGTGACATTTAATGTGGCTATGTGGGCAAGAGCGTATTGTCTAACTTCCTTTTACAGCGTTTTCACGTTAGTGTATGCCTCTTTGTGTTCCCTTTCCATTATTGTTATATAAATTTCACAGATTTTAGAGTTATTGGGTTTTTTGGTGTATGGGTTTCCATAAGCTTCACGTTGGATAGAAGAGCTCACAGAAACATTCGCTTACATTATCACAAAGCTTCTGATAATTATTCCTTATTTATAGTTTTCCTTTTGCTGTGTGTTTCTCAGCAGAAATGAAATCTGTTTGCTGTCCCAAAAATCGCACTTTCTGTTTTCAGTTCCCAGGCTGATGTTCTGTGGTTTTTTTTAAATATTGGTTTAGTATGTGAAATAAAAATATTTTTCCCCGATGCAACAATTAACAGGAAGTGAAAAAGATGCAGTAAGCTATTAAACTGGACGTCTTTTTAAATCATCTATTTTGAAATGTAAAAAAAACAAACAAAGCCAAAACACCACAGATATTGAAAAATTAACACACTAGAACAGGGGTGGGCAACTCCAGTATCCCTGCAGGTTTTAGATGTGTCCTTGAACCAACACAGCTGATTTAAATAGCTAAATTAGCTCCTGCAGTTCTCCAGAGGCCTGGTAACGAACTAATCATGTGATTCCGGTGTATTGACCCAAGGTTAGATCTAAAACCTGCAGGACACCGGCCCTCAGGGCCTGGAAATGCCCACCCCTGCACTAGAACATGGAGTGTATGTAAATAGCCTTAATAGTAGTCTAAACTATAAAAAGATGGCAAATGGTAGTTTGTAAAATAATTCAGTTGACTATTTTATTGAATTAATTATTAAATCAGAATATGGTCATCTGTGTCAAGGTTTGACTGAACAGACTCAAACGCAGGACTCAGAAGTGCAAGTTTAGTTAGTTTACTTACAGTGAGGGAACATTGAGCTATTATAAGTCTTTCAGCAGTTCTTAGGCAGCAATTTTGTTTTTCTGATCTTTAGCGTTTTCCAAAAAAAGACTCTCCTCTCTCCACCATGCAAAACACTCTCTCACAGGGCTCACAGCTCACAGGGTGGGCCGTCTTAAACAGAGGAAAGGATACATTGGAAATCTTTGTCATGATAACAGGGAATGAGACTTACAGACAAGCGAGGCGAATACTACTGCAGTCAGACCACACTCAAGTGAAGACTGAAGGTCAGGTCTCAGCTTAAATAGTAGTCTGCTGATTGCCAGATGATTCACAGGTGCTTGATTGCTTCAGGTGCCTCAGGGAGAGGGTGGACATCCCCGGAGGATCCTGGCCTTGCAAGGTAAGTGAACACATACACAGTAACCCCGCCTTAACAGGAGCCTCCCGGGGACCCTCCGGGTTTATGTGGATGACTATGATAGAAGTCCCAGAGCATGGTCTTATCCAGAACTACCGACTGAGGGATCCAGTAATGCTCTACTGGACATACCTCTCAGTGCACCAGATACTGAAGAGCCCTCCCACAATGTCTGACATCCATGATGCGTCTCACCGAGTAGGATATGGGATATGGGACAAAAAGGCTTGGGCCACGGTTGGGGAATTGGTGATGCTAAAGGGCTTGACCAAGTACTCGAAGTGGCCCTGATGGGTGTTAAATCTTTCCACTGTCCCCCCCTCTCGTATCAGAACCAGGTGATAGGCGTTACGGAGATCCAGTTTTGTGAACACGGCTGCTACTTGTAGTAGCTCGAAAACAAAATTGTGAAAAGGCAAAGGGACTGGGGGACCATGGCGGTGTCCAAATTCAGGGGTTGTATCCTTCGAAGGCTGCAATTTCAGGCCGATTAAGTCACAGCAAAATGGCTAGGACTTTCCAAATTCTCTATATCAGTCATCCACCAAGGACATAGCTGCGGCTGTTTTCATTGCTAGACAACAGGACCGTTCAATTAAACAGTCGCACGTCTGGTCTTCCCGGCCTTCGAAGGACTCGGTCTTACATTGTGTACTTAAATAGAAGTACAAATACTACTGTTAAAAAAATACTCCAGTAGAAGTTGAAGTACTGTAAAGAGTAGCTCTTTGGAGGATGTTTCTATTTTTTGGTGAAAAGCTAACTGAACTTTGTGCTTTATCAACATAATGATAAATAATATCAGTACATAGGAATAAAAACTTTAGTCTATTTTTTTATTCTAATTTTCTCAGCTTGAATCTGATAAAGGGGAAGAAGGAAAATTAAAAGTATATTTGTATTTTCTGTTGCCTCCAGTTTAGAGGACTTTGCCTCTGAACAGAAAAATGTGTACAGTCAGGGGTTTGGTGGATTTAGCAGGTGAGGGGAAAA